ATTTTGGAATGGTTAGAGAAACAAAGGATATGCATTTATCCATTTTTTGCAGCAATTCCACTTTTTGTTTGATGGACATCGAAACATGCTTTCACTTTGTAGATCCTTTGGCAGTATCCAGCATCGGAAGTTCTATTTGACATAATCGAAAGTTCAAGCTTACTTTTATAAAATTGCTCTAATAGTCTACAAAAAATAATAAGCTGAATCCAATTCGAAGATTAAGGAATAATGCAATCTGCAACATTAACTGAAATAGATAATTTTAGCTTAGCTTATACCATCCGTTATACATTAAACATGCATGCGTAAACATACTATGCGCATGCGTACACACATATGCACATGTATAAAGGTATTACGCGAATGCGTTAAACGCATATGCGCATGTGTGAACGTTGACGCATGCGCAGAAAGTTTTTAACTTTGAGGTCCGGATTATAGATCATTGCGGTTTATGGGCATCCCGATTAACGACTTTTGACTGTATTCAATAAATGCTTTGTATTTTGAAAATTTTTATTTTTTAAATTGTGTAAGTTTACCTATCTGATGACCAATGACATTTGAATTTTGTGTATATATATGCTGAATTTGAATTTTACTAAATTTTAATATATGTGCCCCGCAAAAAAAAAAAAAAAAAAAAAAAAAAAAAAAAAAATCCAATCGAGCCCCGCACCTATTCGATCTGGGCCTGCCTGCAGTAATCTGGTGTTTTAAGAAAGGAGCTTCTTTATTTCTTTTTAGCAAAGAATCGCATGTCAAAACTTGAGAAAGCATATTCTACTCAGTTAAAGTTTGTGTCCCCTGTACACCGTAACTGTTGCTTATGGAGGGGGAAATACGTATTTCTTCTTGAAACATATACAAAACTATCTGGTAGTATAAACACTCATTTGCTGGTATATATGTACAGTAAAAAGTCTTTAATCTGGACTCATGGGGACTTCGGTGATTCCGGATTAGGGTTTTTTTCCAGATTATAGATCATCAATTTAAATCTGGTAAGATGGCATGCAGAAATTATAAAATTAAAAATATGAAACCGTAATTTAGGAAATAAAGAGCAATTATGATCTAAAAGGTATCAAAATTTACAAAAAAAAAAAAAAAAAAAAAAAAAGAACTTTATTTGTTTACTTTATTAAACATTTCTTTCAATGTAAGTTGTTTAAGTTGCTTTGTTTTATGTGCTAATACTTTCTCTTTAATTCTATAAACAGACATAATTTCTTGTTCAGTTACAATGTTCCGCTGTTCAAGTCCTGTAATTGCTGTGCCAAGAATATCGAAATTTTTTCGTTTTCACTAACCTCTCTGTCACTTTCTTCATGCCTTTATCCATTTTTTTCAGCAATTCCACTTTTTCTTTGATGGACATCGAAACATGCTTTCGCTTTGTAGATCCTTTGGCAGCTCCAGAATCGGAAACTCTTTTTGACATAATCGAAAGTTCAAGCTTACTTTTTATAAAATTGCTCTAACAGTCTGCAAAAAATAATAAGATGGATCCAATTAGAAGATTAAGGAACAATGCAATCTGCAACATTAATGGAAGTAGATAATTAGATAATTTTAGCCTAGCTTATACTGTCCGTTATACATTAAATGCGTATGCGTAAACATATTATGTGCATGCATAAAGGTATTATGCACATGCATAAATGCTATGCATGCGCAGAAAGTTTGTAGCTTTGTGGTCCGGATTATAGATCTTTCCGGATTATGGACGTCCAGATTAAAGACTTTGTACTGTACAACTTATTTGATTTCAAAACACAATCATCATTCTCAATTATGTGTTCAAACTTAACATAAAATATTTCAGTTTTTATTCTTTTGTCAGATGCAAAGTAACAACAATGACAAAACTATTACAGTCAAAATTTAATTCGGACTCGTCGAGACTTCGGCGATTCCGGATTATAGATCATCAGTTTAAATCTGGTAAGATGGCATGCAGAAATTATAAAATTAAAAATATGAAACCGTAATTTATGAAGTAAAGAACAATTATGATCTAAAGGGTATCAAAATTTACAAAAAGAAAAAAAAAGCTTAATATTTATTTGTTTACTTTATTAAACATTTCTTTCAGTGTAAGTTGTTTCGTTTTATGTGATAATACTTTCTCTTTAATTCTATTAAACAGACATAATTTCTTGTTCAGTTACTAAGTTCCGCTGTTCAAGTCCTATAATTGCTGTGTCGAGAATACCGACTAATTTGTCAATCGAAATTTTTTCGTTTTCAATAACCTCTGTGTCACTTTCTTCACGAGAATTATAATGATGAGGAATTTGATTTAAATCATATCAAAGACAGAGTACATCGAGATGAAATACTACATTTAGTAAGGAATTATAAGCCAAATAAAATAAAAACATCTGCTCTGAAGATAAGGATAGTGCTGACAGTTCAAATTCCAATTTATTGCGTGCCGCGATGTCCCCCCCCCCAAGAGCAGCGTGAAATTGATAAACAGATTTTGGAATGGTTAGAGAAACAAAGGATATGCCTTTATCCATTTTTTGAAGCAATTCCACTTTTTGTTTGATGGACATCGAAACATGCTTTTGCTTTGTAGATCCTTTGGCAGTATCCAGCATCGGAAATTCTATTTGACATAATCGAAAGTTTAAGCTTACTTTTATAAAATTGCTCTAAAAAATAATAAGCCGGATCCAGTTCAAAGATTAAGGAACAACGCAATCTGCAACATTAACTGAAATAGATAATTTTAGCTTAGCTTATACCATCCGTTATACATTAAATGCGCATGCGTAAACGCATATGCGCATATGTGAAGGCATTGTGCGTTGACGCATGCGCAGAAAGTTTGTAGCTTTGAGGTCCGGATTATATATCATTCCAGATTATGGGTGTCCATATTAAGGACTTTTGACTGTATTTTCTTTAATATGGACAATAATGATATCAATTTGTAACATACTCCCACCTTTTGTCGTGCTAATCTAATTAGAAAGACAAAATTACAAATACCGAAATCGAGTATAGTAACACAGAAATAAACAATAATTATACGAAATAATAAAATATTAAGTTACTTATCCAGAGGTAAATCTAATGTTTCAGGCTTCTTCATTTGCTGACCACATCATGTAGAAATTTTTTCTGGAAGTGGATGAAGATCATTCATATCCGTCTGATATTTAACTGTAGTGTATACATCATCAGTCTCAGTTTTATGTGAAAGAGAGAGAGGTACATCTGAAGCTGTTACCTGTAGAGGGGTATATACTTTGTAATGGTTGAGCAATCTCACTGTTTGCAAACTTAACCAAACAACTTGCTTTATACTATCTCTTTACTGTAAATAATTCCATTAAAAGACTGTATTTAAACATCCATTTTGATCAAGGTCACTCTTTATCAGCAGTAATAAATTAGTTCAAAGAAAATGTGTTTCTATTTAAAAACTGCAGAACTTTCCAGATGGATAAAATAATCAAATTTCTTAAATTGGTACCTGACTTAAAATTTTGTAACAATTTTCTGCAATCTTTGTTTGAGGCAAGTCTGGGTGAATGTCATCCTTTTTTCTTTTCGTTAACATTGTTATCACCTGCCTTATAGATAATGTTATACGCAATTCCTTTCATAGCACTGTGGTGTAAAAAATGACAGTTTATTGTAATTTAATACATGGAATTTTTCTGTCCAGGTGTCTTATGCTATATAGCAGAAATCAAGAACTGTAGAAAAATATTGTGACTTCCTGAGAATGGTTACCACAGCTGAAAACAAAAGTAAAATTTGCCATATTATTGCCAGATTGCTGAATGATGTGCATGCTCAAAAGTTGAGTGAATTGAGGGGGAAAAAGTACTTATGGTTCTCAAATTGTCTTTTTTTTCTACAAAGCTCTCAACCATATTTCCACTTTCAGCTTTGAAAGCTGAAAGTGAAATTGAAAGTGTTTAACCTAGCTAAATTTTCAGTTAGTTAATCTGAAGATATCTGTAATTTCATATGCAATATGTATTCTAAGTATGCGAAATGTAGCAAATAGATAATTTATGTTGCAGTAATTATTTTGTTATTGTATACAGATATTTTCATGCACCCTTCTTTATACAGTCAAAAGTCGTTAATTCGGACACCCATAATTCGGAATGATCTATAATCCGGACCTCAAAGCTAAAAACTTTCTGCGCATACGCCGCGTTGACACATGCGCATAGGGTGTTTATGCGTGCGCAAGCGCAGAATACGTTTTTGCATGCACGTTTAATGTATAACGGACGGTATAAGCTAAAATTATCTAATTATCTATTTTTATCTATTTTAGTTAATGTTGATGATTGCGTTGCTCCTTAATCTTCGAATTGGATGCGGCTTATTATTTTTTGCAGACCGTAAGAGCAATTTTATAAAAGTAAACTTGAACTTTCGATTATATCTAATATAGAATTTCCGATGCTGGAGCTCCCAAAGGATCTACAAAACGAAAGTATGTTTCGATGTCCGTCAAACAAAAAGTGGAATTGCTGCAAAAAATGGATAAAGACATGAAGAAGGTGACAGAGAGGGTAGTGAAAACGAAAAAATTTCGATTGACAAGTTAGTCTGTATTCTCGGCACAGCAATTACGGGACTTGAACAGCGGAACTTTGTAACTGAACAAGAAATTGTCTGTTTATAGAATTAAAGAGAAAGTATTATCACATAAAACAAAGCAATTTAAACAACTTACATTGAAAGAAATGTTTAATAAAATAAACAAATAAATATTAAGCTTTTTTTTTTTTTGTAAATTTTGATACCCTTTATATCATAATTGTTCTTTACTTCATAAATTACGGTTTCATATTTTTAATTTTAGAATTTCTGCATGCCATCTTACGAGATTTAAACTGATGATCTATAATCCGGAAAAAATCGATAATCCGGAATCGCCGAAGTCCCGACGAGTCCGGATTAACGACTTTTGACTGTATTTGAATGTATTCTAAATTGTGTGTTATATTTTTTAGAGGTAAATCATTTGAGGATGTTAAGCAGTATTTATTGGGTCTCATTGCACGTAGTGAGGCCGAAGAAGAAGAAGAACTTGCTGTATCTTATATAAGGTAAAAAATTGTTTACTTTATTTTTAATAGTGTTTCTTGCAAAAAAGATTCTTTAATTCATATTGTTAAACTTCATGGATTTTATGGGAGGGTAACTCTGGTAGCTTAATCTTTGAGTTTATTGCAGTTGATTCACCCCAGCATTTCATTAAAAATACATCATTAACATTTTGATAAGAGTCTGTAACTCTTAAGACTGTCATCAAAATATAACTTCCTTTTCATTTTATGTATATGAAATTAGTACAGAGTAATTATAAAATTATATTGTTTTAAAATTGGGTCAATAATTTTAAACTCTCCTATGTATTAAAAATGTTGTACCATGTTAGATAATTTTTCTTTCTTTCTTTAAAAATTTAACTAATTTCAGTTTTATATAATTTACATGTAAAGTATTTAATAGCTGAATTTCCAACTTAATTTAACTTTCTAACTTTAGAATTAATTCTATAATTTGTTTAAATTAATAGTTTTGTATTTACGTTGTAGGCCTAGGAGACATATTGATAGTGAAGTACAGAAAGCAGCTTTATTTTCCCATACCTTGGCAGCATATATTAGTACCATGAGTATAAACCTTGTGTGCAGAATTACAATGCAAATGGTGTCAGATACATCATTATGGATTAGTAAAACATTTAGGTGGGTATTTGTTTTGTTTCATTTTGAGTAAATTATTGTGCATCTGGTTGTAATATTATTATTAAACATTTATAAAAAACTAGAATTAGATTTGGTAGCTAAGTGAAATTTGGAATTACATGCCAATCAACAAAAATATATTCAAAGAGTTTATTTTGATTCACCTTTCAATGCAATAGATTAGTGAATTTCATATTTATATCATAATTAGAAAGGCCTCTGAATCAAAAAGTGTTTAAAACATTAGCTTATTTTTATTCAGCAGAGAAGGCCCAAACCAGAAAATTGCTTCATGCTGAATTGTGTATTTTCTTATCAGAAAATCAAAATATTACCTTATTTTCTTCTGTAGTGAGATCTTGTTAAAAGCATATAATGAGATGCATATACACCATACAAATTGCTTTGGAAGAATTAGCCAAGATTTTATTGTAAAACATTTTTATAGCCTCAAAATTTCTCAACAAATTAATGTAGTAGGGGAGTTGAAGATGCTAAATAACAATTCCAACTTTGTTTTCCACACCACAGAACATTTAATAAAGATAATCAGAAAAGGTACAAATTAGATTAATCACAAGTGCCGTTTGATACAAACAGGATTCTGTATAGTTTTACCAGTCTTATCACATAACCGATTAGTGCCTACTCGCACTTGCTAACGTTATAAAGTCAATTTACCACCTTCGCATGGAAAACTACAGTTCCTTATTCTACACCTTCACGTGCAGACAGACATCTCGCCACCTTCGCGTGGGATAGCAGAAGAGTCTCTGTCATACTCCTCTTTCACCTCGCTGCTGGCGCATCGGTGAGGCCCTCTGGTGGTTGTGTCGCACTTACAGATACTACAGAGTTCGGCCTTCCTGACGCTTTTTCGTCCTCGAAAACACGGATCAGCAACACTGGAACATCAAAACAGCACCTGAAAATAAATTTAAAAAAAAACAAAAGAAAAAAGGGAAAAAAAAAACAAAAAGAAAGAAGTGTGGAAGAACCACACATAGTTTTATATAGTAGAAGTCCACGGCTTCATGAGATCAGCTGCTGTAGTGGTACATCCAGGACCTTCATGGTGTCCCACTTTTTCCACCTGGTAACGATCTTTGCCTTTCCTCGCTGTTACACGATATGGACCGAAGAACTTTGGCCTTAACTTTAGACCACCTCCATACTGCGTTCTTTGTATGGCAACTAAGTCGTTCAGATTGTATACTTGTGCCTCTTTCCTCTTTTTGTTGTATGTTTTTCTATTCTCTTCCTGAATTTTTATAATGTTTTTTCTTGCTTCCTCTCTCATATCATCTCGATCTTTCATCATAGTATTTCTTTCTTCTTCTTCAAGAATTTCCATAATCTTTAAGTCCTCTCGATTTCTCATTTTAACACCAGTGAGAAGCTCAAATGGAGAACTCTTTGTGCTTCTGCTCTTAGTACTGTTTAAGATCCGTTGTACATCTCCAACATATTTGTACCACTTGGTTGGATCATCTATGGATAATTTGGATAGGACTGGAATCAGAGTGAGATGAATCCTTTCAACTTGTCCATTTCCTCTAGGAACGCCTGTAGTTGTAAATATGTGCTGGATCTTCTCTTGACTACAGTAATCTTCAAAGTCTTTAGAGGTAAACGCCGTACCTTTGTCACTTACAATTCTCAAAGGACTACCGAAAGTTGATTGTTGCAGTTTCAGCTTCTGCAATGCCCCTTGAGCTGATGTAGACTTTACTGGATAGAGCCATACGAACTTTGTGAATGCATCAACCACGGTTAAGATGTGATTGTAGTTCTTATTTGTCGACGGTAATGGTCCTATAAAATCGATATGAAAAGTGCTCAAAGAGATACTATCTTTTGGTATGGGATTCAGCAATCCTTCGCTCTTACCTCGTTTTCTGTCGCACAAAATACATTCTACACAATTTGAAATAACTTGCTCAATTCGTTTTCTAAGGTTAGGAATATAAAAGTCGGTTTTCAGCAGATCTTCTGTTTTAGACACCGCGAAATGTCCCTTGTTATGAATACTACGTATGATTTCTAGCTCTAATGCTTCGGGTACCACAAGTAACTCGCGACCACTGTCGAACTTGTATAGTATACCATTCTTCACTAGGAAATCTTTCTTTAGTCCTTGCTCGACTAAGGATTTTAGCAACTGGAGACGCTCATCACTTCTTTGCGCAGCTGCAATTTTGGCTGTAATTTCTCCCTGAGAACAAGTAACCATCATGACAGCGTTTCTACTTAACGAATCCACATGCTTCATTTGCTGCCATATCAGAATAATCTGTGAACAATTTCATAGTCAAATTCTTCTAGAAGTAACGCCCATCTCGCCACTTTAGGGGTTAGATCTTTCTTGAACATAGTCTTCTGGAAAGCATCGCAATCCGTAATTATTCTGACCTTAGATCCTAAAAGGTAATTCCTGAATTTCTTTAGAGCTTCTACTATAGCTAAAACTTCAAGCTCATAACTAGATAGCTTCTCTTGTTGGAGGCTAGTTTTTTTTAACTCATGAAATAAATGGGGTTTAACTGTTCATCATCTGACTTTTGTAGCAATATAGCGCCGAAACCATGACTGCTTGCATCTGTATGCAATTCTAATGGTGCTCCTCGTTTAAAAATATGAAGAACCGGATTTGTCGATAAAAGTTCTTTCAATTTGTTAAATGCCCCTTTTTGCTCAGGCCCAAATTTGAATTCTGCTCCGTTACGAAGAAGATCACTTAATGGTTTTCGCTATTTTTGAATAATTGGCAATAAATTTCCTAAAATACCCAGTAAGGCCCAAGAAACTTTGAATCTGCTTAAGGTTTTTGGGTTTCGGGAAATTTTTGAACAGCCCTGGTTTTTTCAGTAGAGGGGCGAATTGTACCATCCTCAATAACATACCCGAGAAATTCTATTTTTCTTTTCAAAAATTGGCATTTCTTAAAATTAATCTCCAAACCATATTCTTTGGCTACTTCTAAAACGCGTTTCAACTTTTCTAAAGCCTTCTTTCTCATTTCGTGCTGGAATAATAAAATCGTCCATGTAAGTAACAACACTGTCATCCCGAATTAAATCACTAAACACATTATAAATAAATCTTTGGAACACACTAGGAGATGTGCACAAACCAAAAGGTGATTTCAGAAATTCGTACAAGCCTGCATGAGTAATAAATGCCAAATATTTAGTGCAGTTTTCTCCACCGGAACATGAAAAAAACATTTTTTAAGTCTAATGTCGAAAAAAACCTTTGCTTCCCCCAAACGATCTAAAACCTCCTTTACTTGTTCAATGGGAAAAGAATCCTTAACTATTTTTTTTATTTAACTGCCTGAAGTCCAACACAAATCCGTGTCTTCCCCGATTTTTTTCTACACAAAACATCTGGCGAAGCATATTCTGAACACGACGGCTTTATAATCCTATCCTTTTTTAACCATTCATCTATCTGATTATCAACAAATTTTTGATCAGCAAAAGGAATTCTCCTCGAAAGCTGAGAAACTGGAATATCATCTTTTAATATTACTTTCATTTTTAAGTCTGTACTGCACGGCTTTTCTAACGGTTTATACTCATTAATAAGAGTGGAAACAGTATTGCGTAATCCTTCATCTTTAATATGCCATAAATCTGTTTCGCTGTCTGCCTCAATGGCTGCAGAAATAAAAGACAAAAAATTCCTTTCCGAAGAGACGGAATCATTTTCATATTGCGTATTCATCATTTGGTCACAACAGATCATTTTTAGACAGGAAGTGGGAAAATACAGTCTGTTATCAATTCATCAACTATCGCTGCTTCAATCTCTTTTTGTTTTTTGCTTTCGCATAAAGAAAAAATAAACTTAGCCGTTTCCACTTTAACCACGTGACCAAACGAACTTTTGAGCTCGATACATCCACTTGATAATTTATTCGGAAAAAGGGATTTCTTTACAACTATCAATTCACTTTCAGAATCTATTAAACATTTTGCTTTTTTACCATCAATCAACAGTTCAATAAATTCTAACTTATTTCTAGCTGCATTATCCGAGTCAATCTCTAACCCAGATACCTTTTTTGGAGACAAACTTTCCTCCTTTCCTAACCGTTTGGGACAATTTCTAGCAAAATGAAATAATTCCCCTTTACTCCCACAAACATAGCAAATACGTTCTGGTTTACTACTACCTTGATTTACAAACTTCCCTGAATCCTTGAAATTGCTCTGAGCTTTTCTAAGATTGTTTTTGGAAAAATTAAGCTTTTTATTTTCTGGAGTTTCGATTCGTGTGTTACTGGTATCAACTAAAGATTTACCCCTGGATGAATAAAATAAATCACATTCTCTTCCCAATTGATTAGGTGGGTACCAACTTTGACCCTCCCGAACACTAATATGTTCCTTTGTTTTAGAATCCAGAGTTTCATACAACTTATCAGATACAATAAGATCACACAATTTCTTAAAGTCATCTACCTCTCTTAACTTGCAATAATAATTGAAAGTTGCACTGAGTCGAGACGCGAACTGAACATGCGATTCAGATGAATGTCTCTGCACATTTTTAAAATTGTTCAAACACTCACGCGGTGTTGGCTAAAATTCTTTCAAGATTAGAGTTTTTAATTTATCATAATCCGCGATTTCTTGTTCAGAAACATACGTTAGAACATTATTACATTTATCACCTAATATATTAATCAACACTTCTGATTTTAACTCCACTGGTACACTTTTAGTAGTAAAAGCTTTCTCAAGTGACTGAAAAAACAAATGCATAGCTTCCGGTTCCTGAGGTACAGCTATAGTTAGTGTTTTGACGCTTTTAATGATATCTTCAACACTAGTCTGCACGTTTCTTCCATCACTTGATAATGATTGTGATTTTAAACTTTCTAATTCAATCTGCTTCTCAATTTGAGCTAATTTAAGACGTTCAATCTCTAAAAGATAGTGTTCATTACTTGTTTTAGGCGTCCGATCCTCTGTGATCGACTTGACGACGCC